TCCCCCACTTAAACCTACTCCACTAAACCTAACCCTCTACACCACTACCACCTCACCTACTCCACTAAACACCACTACCACCTCACCTACTCCACTAAACCTAACCCACTACACCACTACCACCTCCACTTCACCTACTCCTTACCTACTACACACTTACTCTCTTCTATATATAGGAATCATGAATCATTGTAATAGAAATTAACATTAGATCAATCAATAATACAATTCTCTATTTCTCTTTATACATTAAATTTTCTACAGTTTAATACATTCGGATGTTTGGGGTCTTTCTCGTATTCCAAATATTTTTGGTTCTCAGTGGGTTGTCTCATTTATAGATGATTACACTCGTACTACTTGGGTCTATCTTATGAAGTCCAAATTGGAAATTTCCACTCTTTTTCCTCTATTCCACAAATTCATTAGCACTCAGTATGGGACAAAAATACACACAATTTGATCTGATAATGGCAAGGAATACTTCAATCAAGATCTCATTACTTATCTTGCAAATGAGGGCATCCTACATCACTCATCTTGTGTTGACACACCTCAACAAAATGGAGTTGTAGAAAGAAAGAACCGACATCTTCTTGAAGTTGCTAGGTCCCTTCTTTTCCAAACGAAAGTTCCTAAAACCTATTGGGAGGAAGCAGTACTCACTGCTGCATACTTGACAAACCAAATGCCATCAAGAGTTCTTCAGTTTCAATTTCCCATGAGTAAACTCTCTTCCTTGTTTCCAGATTTCCAAGGGGTTGGGTCCTTATCTCCAAAACTATTCGGATGTACTTGCTATGTGCATGTTCATAGTCATTTATGGGGTAAACTTGATCCTATGGCTATCAAATGTGTATTCTTGAGGTACTCTCCTACTTAAAAGGGCTATAAGTGTTATCACCCTCCAACAAAAAGAAATACACCACTTTGGATGTCACCTTTGTAGAACACCAACCTTATTTTGGGGACACCTATCTTCAGGGGGAGAGTTTAGGAGAAGATAGCTGGCTAGAGGTTGATCATTCGTTGCCTATTCCGAGTGTGGTATCTAGTCCCATATCAAGTGCTAGTTTTGATTTGCCTTCTTCGTCTAATCCAGATAGTCCTCCTACTTCAAATATGTCTTCTCCTAAACTAAATGTGAGTCCCGAATAGAATCCATTGAGCACGATAGAGTCTCCAGAGACCAAGGATGAGAGACTCAAGACACCTATCACCAAGGTATATTCCAGAAGGAAGAAGCTCAAAATCAGCTCACATGATCCAAGCATTGATCCTAAAACAAGTAATGAAATTGAAACTCAGGTTTTTGATTCTCATGAAGACTTGGAATTGCCTGTTGCCATTAGAAAAGATGTTAGAACTTGGACTCGTCACCCTATATCTTAATTTGTTTCCTTTCAGCATCTCTCGCCTTAGCATCAAGCTTTTGTCACCCAAATGTCTTCCCATGAAGTTCCCAATAGTGTCCAAGAAGCTATTAAATTGAAACCATGGAGGGAAGCCATGAATGAGGAGATGAGAGCCTTAGAGAAAAATCAAACTTGGGAGATAGTAGAATTGCCAAAAGAAAAGAAAAAAAACTGTGGGGTGCAAGTGGATTTTCACCATCAAGTACAAAGTCGATGGAAGTTTGGAAAGGTACAAGGCCCGATTAGTGGCAAAAGGGTATACCCAGACATATGGGATCGATTACCAAGAGACTTTTGCACCGGTGGCCAAGATGAACACTGTCCGGATCATTCTCTCATTGGCAACAAACTTTGATTGGCCACTACTGTAGTTTGATGTAAAGAACGCCTTCCTCCACAAAGACCTAGAGGAAGAAGTATTTATGGATATCCCAACTGGGTATGGAAAACAGACATGGTCAAACAAGGCGTGCAAGCTCAGAAAGTCCTTATATGAACTTAAACAATCTCCTTGGGCTTGGTTTAGAAGATTCATAAGAACTATGGTGAAAAGAGACTATCGTCAAAGTCAAGGTGATCATACTTTGTTCATTAAACATTCACATCAAAGGGAAGATTACTGCATTGATTGTTTATGTTGATGATATTGTGGTCACTGGAGATGATCAAGAAGCGATTATGGGACTGAAAGCCTACTTGGCTAGGGAATTTGAGATTAAAGATTTGGGTAAACTTCGGTATTTTTTGGGAATTGAGGTAACAAGATCAAAACAAGGGCTGGTGATTTCTCAAAGGAAGTATATACAAGACTTGCTTAAGGAAACTGGCATGGTTGGATGTAAATCAGCCGAGACTCCTATTGAGCAGAATCACAGATTGGGAGAGGCTAATGAAGATCAACTTGTTGACAGAGGAAACTATCAACGGTTGGTGGGAAAGCTTATTTACCTATCACACACACGACCAGATATTGCATATGCTGTTAGTGTGGTAAGTCAATTTATGCATGCTCCACTTAAATCTCATTTAGATGCTGTATACCGAATTTTGAGATATTTGAAGGCAGCTCCCGAAAAAGGTATATTGTTCAAGAAAAGTAAAGATTTAAGGTTGGAGGCCTACACAGATGCAGACCGGGGAGGTTCTATTGTGGATAGACGATCTACTTCTAGCTATTATACCCTCTTAGGTGGAAATCTTATTACTTGAAGAAGCAAGAAACAACATGTGGTGGCCCGTTCTAGTGCAGAAGCAGAGTTTAGAGCCATGGCACAAGGCATATGTGAATTTTAGGTAAAGATGATCCTTAAAGATCTTAAGATTGTGTTTTAGGAACCTATGGTGCTTTACTGTGACAACAAGGCAACCATTAGCATAGCACACAATCCAGTTTAGCATGACCGAACCAAGCATGTAGAGGTGGATAGACACTTCATAAAAGAGAAGATCGATAGTGGTCAAGTGAGAACTCCACATGTATCATCCACCAATCAACTAGCTGATATTCTCACTAAAGGACTACCTAGCCTAAGTTTTCAGCGAATCACGAGCAAGTTGGGAATGCATGATATCTACACACCAGCTTGAGGGGGAGTGTTGGAATATGGATCTTCTTAGGGTGTATAAAGCCTGTATAACAGCCTGTTATACTTTCCTTATTAAAGGTTGTATAGCTGTATTCATTTATGTTGGCTAGAATTAGGTTGTTTCTTTATTTAGATTCTTAGAAGTCAACTTCTTGTACTTTATTTATAGCCCTGTACAGATTATGTTTGAAATATATGAGAAGAATTATTCTCTTCCAAGCCTTCAGTAAACAACCAGAAAAGCCGGAAAAAACTCAACGGCTAAATGCTACTTAATAAACCTGGTAGCCCACAAAAAGAAAAGGCAAAAAGAGGTCCAGAAAAGTGCTTAAAGCATCAGCACTATATCCTGTAAAAGAGAGAAAAAGGGTTCGGACCACCCTAAAGAGGGTGTCGAAATACTCTAGGCCAGGATGAGACCTGGTTAGCAGCAGCAAAGCCCTCAGCAGGTGTAATATAGTCCTACCGAGGGGTATAGGAGGGTGGGTAAGTGGTTTCAGGTGGTCTAGGAGTGGTGGGTTAGGCTGTCGGGTGGTCTAGAGGGGAGAGGAGGTCTGTCGGGTGCTGGAGGAAGAAGAAAGAAGATGAAGAAACTACTGGGCAGTGAAGAACAGGGGCCGATAGGGAGGAGGGGGTGGTCTAGGGTTTCTGTGTTTTGGCTCTGATACCAAAAAGAATGAAAAGAATTATTTGGCTTATCTATGAATAAGGTAGCGCCTTGTATTTATAATGAAGCAATATTACAAAATAGGAAACAAACAAAATAGGAAACGAAGATAAAAAAAGGCATTAAATCTATGATTGATATAATCACGGATTTTATACACACTACCATAATTATAATATCACTATTTCCTAATTCCAACATTTTGGTGGGTCAATAGGTGGACCTTTTGGGGTTTTTGATATGGTTTACGTTATGAGGGGAGAGACGAGGATACTTTGGTCTGGATTTATCTGGGGTCTAAAGGGGTTTTCTCGGTGTCTTCATTCTATCATTTATTGGTGGGTGGGGAGGTTGTGTTGTTTCCTTGGAAGTGTGCCTGGGTGCTTGGAAGTCCATCCAAAGTAGCTTTTTTTGTCTGGACAGCGGCTTTAGGGCGTATTTTGAATATTGATAATTTGATTCGGCGTCGTCATAGTTTAGTTAACTGGTGCTATATGTGTTGTGGGGACACGGAGTCGGTAGATCATTTGTTTATTCATTGTCCGGTCACTTCACGGCTGTGGATGTTTATTGTTGCGACTTTCGGTTTGGTTTGGGTCCAACCAAGGTCGGTGATGGAGGTGCTGCAAAGTTGGGCTGGGGGGAGGGTTGGGAAGAGGCGTCGGAAGGCGTGGTTACTTGCTGGCTAGTATTTAATGTGGCTGGTTTGGTTGGAGTGCAACAGGTGTACTTTTTACGGTGTGTCTCAGTTAGTTCCATGGATGGAGAGGCGTTTGTTAACTGTGCTTCATAGTTGGATTACGGTTTCAGTAGATCCAGATGTGTTGGCCTTTGTAGATTTTGTAGATGACTTGATTAGTTAGCATTTGGTATATTATTTGGCCTTAGTTTTGTATTCTTTGTATCATTTTGATACTTTTTCAATAAAGTTTGTTTATTTATCACCCCAAAAAAAAAAAAAAAAAAGAGATGAGAATTGTTAAGAGAAGATAAGTAAAAGAAAACAATGATGGCATAAGGTTAATCCAAAACCACGAGATAGCTATTTGCATATAATTAAATGTTAGAGAGGTAAAGTGCTCTGGGGTTAAAACCACAAGAGGGTAAAATAGATTTTGCCCCAAAACGAAAATGTTTTTGTAGTTTATCTTTCTCAAACCTCAGTCGAAACTTGAATGTTTCACATATCTCCTCTAGCCAAAAGAACAGGAAAAAAAGTATAATAAAAATGGGATCCTCGGAGTTTGTAAACTGCACTACCAGACCTATGTTTTTGGGCACTTCACGCATCCGACTAAACAGTAACAATTAAAGTGTGTATTACCTGTGCAGGGAAATCTGGAATCAGGCTGGATTGGATGAGGAGACTTCAAATAGCCCTTGGAGCAGCAAGAGGTTTGCAATATCTGCATGAGCTTGCCAACCCTCCGATCATACATGGGGACATCAAATCAAACAATATCTTATTGGATGAATACTTGAATGCAAAAGTTTCTGATTTTGGTCTGTCCATGAGTATTGCTGACCCCAAAAACTTTCATATTACCACTCAAGTCAAGGGGACAATGGTCAGTAAATTTTTCTCTAAACCCTAGTTTTGAAAGAACAACAAATTACTGTAAATTAGAAGTTGGATAAAGATTTTCAAAGCACCTTAGTTATAATCAAAATCTATCTGTTCTTGAAGCTGGTCTCAACTAGTCATAGCTCTCGATTGGTAAACGAAGGACCAAATCAAATAAATTAAACCCCCCTACTCTGTTTCGATGAAAACAAAAATTAAAACAAGTAATGTAATTTTCCCCCATTAACAGCCATTTCTTTTTAATATGTAAATATATTTTTTTTCCTGGGTGGTAGCTGGTTGAGGTACAAAAAAAGGAAAAAGAAGAAATCACATGAGAGAATATCTTGAAGAAAGGATAACTATTGGACATTGGAGAATGCGGATTTTTCTCATTATGTAAAGATATAGTGCAGTATGACTTGAAAATTGTTCTACTTTTTTTTCAGTCCAATCCCTTACTGTGTTGGAGGTAACACCATTTCATTAATGAGAAGTGCATCAAAGGAAAGGTTATAATCCCATAAATTTGAGTGCCTACTATCTACATAGCGTAGCCCTTGATTGGCTGGTAGCCCACTATCGAATTTGGAAACCCAGGGTGAAACCCGTGGGTCTGAACTATTTTTGGTCCAATAAATGTAATTGGTGGCTTTCTATTATTATTATTATTTAGTTAGAAATTAAATAAGTATTGATTTAGTTTCCAAATACTAATAGGATTCGTTTTCCTAATTCATTTTCGGGTTTTGGTCTATATTTAGTAGTCTTTTGACATTGTATTATTTAGTTTTCGAGTTATATTATTGAGAGTATTTTTTAGGCCAAAAAATGATGCACATAATTTTATCTTTGCTAAAAAGAAATCTTAAACAAATTTATGGAGTGGACAACTGAGGGATAATTGTTTTGAGTTCTTTGAAGATCCATGATATTGCTTACTATTTTGGATTAAAAAGCAGAATTTTTTTTATTGGTGTAGGGCTACTTAGATCCTGAATATTGCATGACCCAGCAGTTGACTGTGAAGAGTGATGTTTATGGCTTTGGAGTGCTAATGATTGAGCTGATAACTGCGAAACAGCCGATTGAGAAAGACAAATACATTGTAAGTGAGGTGTGGCAGAAAATGGACAAGACAGAGGATCTATATGATCTTCATGAGATTCTTGATCCAAACATTTTGGGCACTGCAGTGAAAGGTTTAGAGAAATTTGTGGATTTGGCAATGAGGTGTGTCGAAGAAGAAGGAGCTGCAAGGCCTACAATGTGTGAGGTGGTAAAAGAGATTGAAAACATCATGCAAATTGCCCCTAATACTGACTCGGTGTCCACTTCAGTTGGTTTTGAAGGGACTAGCAACTATCCTCATAGCAAAGAAAGCCTCATTATTTGTAGCAGGGCCTTGGCACGTTAAAGGTTGGTGCCCCAGCAAGTCTTATTAAGCATTTTCGTGTTAGAACATGTGAGCTTTTTGATGTTTGTACCATGTGGGAAGAATCAAACCACGTATTGTAATGAATTCTTGGCTTTTCTTTCTTTTGTCGGACAGTCTTAGGTGTGTTGCCTGTCTGGTAGACTATAAACAAGTGAAGAGAAAAGTGAAACGAAATCAAAATATTGATGTACAAACTGTGTGTATATTAAGCTAAGTCTTGTGATTTTTCTATAAATAAGCTACTATTTTCTGTTCTAAGCAATCATCCCTCAATTTTCTGTTGTATTGAGAAAAGAAAATGTGATTTACTGATTCATTTCTGATGATATGCAACAATTAGTAGATTTCAAGAGAGGCTTGGATTCTCACCCATGTCCTTCTTGGTTGTAAGTTTCTTGGGAATGTTTGTTAGTTTGCATGATGACAATATTGCTGTTTCTTTCACACCAGGAAAATTATGTGTCCTTATTATAGAATTTTTTTGTTAGTTTGCAGGGAAATTCTATAATAATGGGTGTACATGTGCTCAAGTTACAACCTTGATGATATTTACTTGTAACTCGGTGTTGATTATGATTTAGTTATGAATCATTGTAGTATTAGTTATGATCTATTGTCATTGTTATTTTGGTTACACCTTAAGTAATGTTTAGTTATGATTCATTGTGATATTATTTACGACTTGGTTATGACACATTATAATGTTAATTATGACTCAGTTATGACCTATTATAGTTGTAATTTTAGTTATGACCGAAGAGATTTTTAGTTATGCCTAAAAGGTGTTTGGTTATGAATTGTTAAATAATGACAGAAAATTATTTGATTATGATATTTTGTGATATCAACACCATAAAGTGTTATAACTTGCATATGATGCATTCCTTCTTGAGGAGTGTGTATTATAACGTTACCATTGTTGGCATGTTTATTATATTTATAAATAACATATCGTTGTAAATTATGTATCATTATTATAGATTAAGTTGGTAGGATGGGCACTAATTTATGAAGAGAGTTCAATTTCATGTTTGTGTTGCTCAATAAATTATACTTATCTTTTAATCTACTTCTGAATGTTTTCTACCTTTTCATTGTCCCACAAATACCCTTGTCAAGTTGATGAAATTATATATTAACTTGCATCCCCACCAACAGTTGCAGTCCTGCACCAATATTTCATTCAGTTGCTGCTATTACGATTCACAAATTGCAAAATCCGACTGAAAAATCAAATAGAGAAACTACCCCAATTAATTCCATTGTCTCATTTCTTGAATGTGTGTGTGGTTGTGGCGTGTTGGAATGCTTCGGAGGTTCCAATCAGATATGAAAAGTTAATCAGATGGAAGTGAAGTGAGCAACCATGGTGGAGGTTTGGTGAGTTGATGGTTGGTGTTAATGTCAATTTGAGTTGGCCTGTTATGATGGTTGCATTTTCTGTTTTTGCTGTTGGTAGAGAGAAACAAAAGGTGAGATGACAGAGAAGAGGAGCAGGAGAGGGAGAGGTCTAGAGAGAAAAAAATTACAATTCAGTCTTTTGACAAAATATTTAGAGATATATGAAAATGTTTAGAATTTTAATTATTAATATTGTTCAAAATTGAGATTGAGCTTCTGTCGAGGATTCATCATAAGAATGTTGTCAACGTTGTTGGTTATGAGTTCGTTGAAAAGAAAAAGAAAAAAGAGAAAATATGTGTAAAAGTAGGTGAAATGTAAGTATATTTTATTTACATTTCACTTACCTTTTCTTTTCATTTTTTCAATTACCTCTCCAAATTAATGAACCGAACACAACCTAAAGAAAAATCTTTCAGGTACTTCCATTCATTTCTGGGCTTGCTGTATCTAATCTAAAACACTTTATTTATTGCCTTCCTTGGTCCCTATGGCATACTTTATGAGTAATAAATTGAATGGCTAGCATCTAGGGGAAGAAATGAAGACAATAAAACAATAGTGCAGAATATAGGTTTATTTGATTTAGCAATGTGCCAAAGGCATCGGAAAAATTAACTTGGAATAAGATTGTGTTGCTTCACTTGCCTCGTGTAAACTTAACACTTGAAATTTACATAGATGTGAGGGTTAATTACATTTTGAGTCAATTTTGTGTCATTTTGATTTCTAATTGTTTAAATTGTATCGATTTAGTTCCCAAGGTATCAAATGTGTTCCAATTTGGCCCCCATATGCAACTCCATCAATAGATGTCGTTATGATACACACATCACATTTAATAAGGACTAAAAGTGTAATTTTTTAAATGAGTTTTCACAATTATGGTATAGGTCATACATTTTAGAAATTAAGAGTGTAATTTTTAAGTGAGTTTACACATTTATCCCTGACTTTAACGACGCCTATTGATGGAGTTAGGTTGGGGGGGAACAAATTGAAACACTTTTTATACATTGGGGGACTAAATTGACACAATTTAAATATTGAGGATCAAAATGATATAAACAACATACTTCGGGGACCAAAAATGTAATTATCACCCTCCAGAGAAAGGAATAATTATGGTATTATAGCAATAGTAGCATGCCAAAATACATAATGATTAGGGCCAAGGGCCTTGTTGTTGAAACCTCATCCTCTGTAGCCCTGTTGTTTCGAATTGAAAACTAATGGATATAGTATTTGTTTTGTCCCCCTGCAAGATGAGCTATTGTTGGAACATAATTCAGTTTCTTATTTGAGAAAACAGGGATATGTGTAAGTGTGATCTCTTATGATAATGCAATGGATAATCTTTGCAGGGAAGTCAAGATTCTGTTGGAGGTCACCCCATGTGAAAGGGGTGATCCTCATGCTGTAGGCCAATTATTGTTCCAACTCCATGCAAACAAAGGAGAGAGTCAAGGAAGGATGGCATGCAAAGACTTCCACCTGAGGTGAAGTGAAGGTCTAAGTTGGGTACTTCTCCCTTCTCTTCCCGTTGTAGCCATTGTTGACTCTCACCATTAAAGAAGGTAGAAAATGGTGGTGAGTTTGTCTCCTCTCCCTCACTCTCCTTGTGTATAAATAGAGAAGAGAAGAGCAGAGGCAAGCAGTGAGTGTGTGAAGAGCAGTGTATACTCTGTGTGTTATCAGAGAGAGAGAGAGTAAGCTATATACAGAGAGAGTGTGAGTTGAGTGTGTAATCTCCTCTTCTTAGTATATAGTGTTATCGCTCCGGTGGGCGTAGGCTGGATTGCCGAACCACGTTAAAATTCCTGTGTTATTGCTTGTTTGTGTTCCTGGTGTGCCCACAATCCCCAACAGATTCCAATTGGATTGGACAAGGAGACTTTAGCATGGCGCTTGATTCAGCCAGAGGCTAGTTTGTACAGATTATCGCAGTCATAGAAAAAAATTCCCAATTATAAGAATATGCAAGATTATATGAGAAGTTGGTTAAGATTGGTGTATTCACAAAATTTTCCATTCATTATGTCAATAGCTAATTGCATAGGCATAATGGAGCCCCAAGTAATGTTTTGTGGGAAAAAAAAAGTCTTGCAAGCATATGTGACTTTTTGGGAATCTGGTTGTTGCCTTTTTTTAATTTCATCGCCTATGAAAAGTTGGCGTATTTGATTTCGTTTGCCATGACGCGAGAGTGTCACGTATGGTTCCTTTGAGAAGGGTGTGGCCTAGAAAGCTAACTATTGAAAGAAGTTTATGTTTTTTTATTCTAGAAGATATTCTGATTTTGATTTCTAGTTCTGGCCCGTACAAACACACTCACATTCACACAATCTTCTGGTTTTGGCCCATACATACATGTACATACATGCACACATACACATAATCTTCTTTGACACGGTGTAATGTCGACACTACTGAACTCAAATGTTGGTGCATTTGCTTGTCTTGATAAAACAAAATATTTTCATGATTTTTGTATGTCTCTTGTTTCTTGAAGTTATCTAATTCATGTCCTATGAAAGCTTTGAGTTCATTAGTTTATGCTACAATATTTCCTTTGATTTACACTTCCAAAAATTTGATTTTTTTTTTCTTATATATAGGGATACATGGATCTTGAATATTACATGACCCAACAGTTGACCGAGAAGAGTGACATTTATAGCTTTGGAGTAGTACTGTTGGAGCTAGTGACTGCAAGAGCCAACAGTTGACCGACAAGAGTGACGTTTATAGCTTTGGAGTAGTACTATTGGAGCTAGTAACTGCAAGAGCGTCGATAGAGCGGGGAAAACACATTGTGAGGGTGATGAAGGAGGCAATAGACAAGTCAAAAGATCCATATAACCTTCACGACATTCTTGGCCCGGCTTTGGACGCAACACTAGACGGCTTGGACAAGTATGTGAAATTAGCAATGAGTTGTGTCAAAGATTCAGGAACCGAGAGGCCTACAATGGGTGAGGTGGTGAGAGAGATCGAGAACATCATAAAATTGGCTAGTTTGAACCAAAACACTAAATCAGCAACAACTTTATCAAGTTATGAAGGAAGCATTCACAATCCTTATAGTAGTGAAGATTTCTTTGATTATAGTGCTGGTTTTTTACCTTTGGACATAGAGCGCTAGTAACCGAATTATTTTTATAGAAAATGATATACTCACAAGACGGTGGGATCTACATAAACAGTCTGGTTGAGTTGGAGAATTGTTTTAAGTACGGTTACTTTTAGTCAAACATATTTGTGTAGATCCTTTTGTGATCTTTGTATCATGTTCTCTCTATAATATAATTAAATTTTATCTAGGTTATGAATGTTACAGATCCATCATATGATTTTTTTTTTTTTTTTTTTTTTTTTTTCTCTCCTTTTAAGTGTGATTATTATTTTTTTTTGTTGTTGTTTTGTTTTGATTTTGTAAATTCATAAGAAAATATCAGAGAATCAAGTAAATTGACTGATTAAGCTTGACTAATAAATTGATGCTGTTGTTGTTTTTAAATTAAAAAATTTATTTGCTATTCTTTTCTAGTATTAATAACATGCTTTAGCTTGAACACAGTGACCAAGCATGACACCCTGTGATGATAGGAATAAACTAGTGGATAGAAAAAGAGATCACGATGAAGTGATATTGAAAGAAAATATGACAATAGAATGAGTTGAGGTTCACAGGGCGGCCAAAGCAAGGCTGTCACCCACCGGTGAAGCAAAATTATTAGGTACTTAACCTAACTCTGATACAAAAAAAAAAAAAAGAAAAGAATTATTTGTCTTTTCTATGAATGAGGTAGAGACGATATATATATATATATATATAAAATAGATTCATGATACAATTTA